CTGGACACGTGTGTGACGGGGCGCCACACCATCACCTGGACACATGTGTGTGACGGAGCGCCACACCATCACCTGGACACATGTGTGACGGGGCGCCACACCATCACCCGGACACGTGTGTGACGAGTGCTGCTCGTCCGTCACCGACGCGTGACGGACGAGGAGCACTCGTCCCACTGTCACCTGGGTACATGCACATCATATTTTATTTAGGAACTTTCATCAAAGAGGCGCCAGTCTGAATATTTTTTTACAAAAAAAAAACGTCTCGAGATGGCAAGAAAAATGTTGAAAACGGTAACACGTTTTAAGAAACTTGGTAATATGGATTTCGTGTTAAGTACGGGTGTTTTCTGTGGAGTTCTGGTCGGAAATGACTGATAGATTTAGAAGCCGTTTGGTAAATTACCAGCAGGGTAGCGGGCCGGCCACTGGTGCGCAATCTGTCTGTCGTTTGTTTGGTAACTGTCATTCGTTAATAACGCGAATTGCACATGCCTGAATTTTTTAGGTTTATTTCCAGTACGTTATATACTGAGGGTATACACCTAATCTAACAGATGTAAGAATATATGCTTATTATTAAATAAATTACTGCTGCTTAATTGTTAGTATAATTATAAACCCTAATACACTATTTATCAATGATACTTATTCAGTCCATATAGGTTGTTACAGTTATCTCCTGCTTAGCAGTAGATCCTGTCTGTTCCTTTACCATCTACTTACTAGCATGCTACAACATCAAGATTCAACATCAACAACAACAATACGTGCCAAACCGTATTGTCTAGGCACCACACCTCCTCCCCCCCTCCACCCTACCATACCCAAGACACCCACACACCTGCCGTCTCGCCGGTTGACCAGACGCCACCAGCAAACTATCGCTCTGGTCGTTATATCTCACTGGCTTCTAGTCTCCAGCTCCAGTATTCGCTCCAAATATGACGTCACAGCCCATATAAGACGCCCTGCTAGCGTCTAGAGTGTCCACGAGAGACATCTCCCGTCACGCAGGGTGCAGTCGCACCTCCACAGATCTCTAGTATCAGCTCTTAATACTGGTAATGGCTCGAAAGGGCCACCACTTACGGGCTATTCATGCCCGCGCCACCTTTTGGGTGGCTTAATCTTCATCACTCATCCAGAGTGTCAGTTACAGCCTCGCTCCTGTGCCAGGTAAGTCCTTTAAGTAGCACGGGCTCACTATAGCCCGTGCTACTTAAAACTTTTTGTTCCCAGTAGCTGAATCTTAAACCACAACATCCAGAGCTCCGGATTATTCTTCTAGTGCTCATTACTGCCGCAGCTACTCTCGCCTCCGGGTGACGGTAGACCCACACAGCATTTTGTATCAACTATTGCCTTCACCTTTGTTATTAACGTAAATTTCACGTGTTTATATTTCTCTTTTGATTGTGTTTTATCCAAGTGGAAAAGGGGTTTTGTTTTCATTAATAGTTGTCAGTTTGTGTAAAATTAAAGTCATTTTTTGTTATATTAAATGTTTAAAAGTTTTTATTCTCTTGAATAAATCCACAAGGGCCGTGGTGAGGGTTCGAACTTACGTCCAGGATCATCCCAGACGCGCCTTAATCCACTGAGCCACGACAAGGTCAACACCGTGGCTCAGTCGATTAAGGCGCGTCTGGGATTATCCTGGACGTAAATTCGAACCCTCATCATGACCCTGGTGGATTTATTTATTTGATATATCATGCAATAGTGATTTTTGTGTGTATTTTTATTATCTTTTTTTTTACCCGCAGCTTTCACGCAGTAAAGGTATCAAGCCGTTATTATTATTATTATTATTATTATTATTATTATTATTATTAATGTGCCATTGGCACAAGATCTGTCAGAATTTTTACTGCTTTATTCCAGATTCTGGTCACAAGGACAAACGTAACTGGCGGAGATGAGAGTAGAGCAGGTGTTGTGTGAGCCACGCCTGACGTCCATGCATGATCATGTACTTCATGTTGCTGAGCATCACACAGCTCACGTAACAAGAGTCGCTCAACACATGTCTTCATGTTAACCGCGCTTTCATGAAACTAAAAGATATAATACGCAGCCAGTACTGGGAACAATTCTTGCAGGGCATCAATCATAGAACATCTTTAGCTTAAACGTGAGTCAAAATTAAAAAGGGGGTTTTAATACTAACATTATCTTTAGTGAAAATGGGTCTGCAGGATGTATTCACCTAGTTGTGCTTGTGGGGGTTGAACTTTGGTCTTTCGGTCCGCCACTCAACTGTCAATAAACTGTTACTACTATATTTTTTTCCTCTTCCATGCACACATACCCCCAGGAAGCAGCTCCGTAACAGCTGTCTAACACCTAGGTACCTATTTACTGCTAGGTAACTAGAGCGTTCAGGGTGAAAGAAAATTTGTTTCTGCCTGGTCCGGGAATCGCTCCTCAGAATTACGAGTCCTGTGCGCTGTCCGCTCAGCTACCAGACCCCTAGATGTATGACATGTATGACAATGTATGACATCTCTCTATTTGAACTAGAAACTGCACTCAAAATTGGCAGAGTAACTCTTGCTTCAAACGATAGAACAACATACCCGAGGCTTCTTACCAGATCACATTCACTCTAAACATCTATCACCTACGTGCTACTCATGCCCGTGCTACCTCTGGAATGGCTTAATATTCATCAATCAATCAATCGGCTTCGTACCGGCATACCTAATAGTCCGCTACTAGAACTGTACAAATAGTCTCGGCGAGGTGTCCTACCTTATCGCTGGACGCAGGACCTCAGAATTGACAACCTGTCCTCTTAAAAATAACGTCGCTTTTGGCCGTTTGCCTGTATGGCCGAAAGTGGACATAATTTGAAAATGAAAAAAAAGTGATATTTTTTTCAGCAACAGTTAGTTAAGGATCCTCTGGTAGGTTAGGTGGGCTGGAAATTCTCAAAGTTTCAAAACGTTAATTAAAGTTTCCTCTCCTAACCTTACCGAGTAAGCCGGACGACTCAAACAGAAAACGGGACAGTACGTCACTTTTGTGAGTCGATTTCATTTCAAATTACGTCCACTTTTGGCCATAGCGCGCATACGAGCCAAAAGTGACGTTAATTTTAAGAGGACGGGTTGAATCAATATAACTAAGCCAAACTCGAACAAATTTAGGCCCATACCTTAACTTCCTGCATGTGCAAGGACCTTGAGAGGGTTGTTCTCAGTAGGCTAATGATGTATATCAAAAGTCAACTCACTTCTAACTTGCAGGGCTTTCTCCCTGGGTGAGGTACACACTCCTGCTTTGCCGAGTACTTCATCAGGCAGGAACTGAAGACTCGGTTCCTGCCCAAGACTCCCCTCCCCTGTTAATCTCCCCTGCACTAGGCTGAAAGCTTTAGAGAAAATTCAAAATGAAATCTTGAGGAACATTCTTGGAGTCCCCAGATGCACAAGAATTATCAACATGAGGGAGGAGGTGAAGCTCCCATCCATATGTGGAATAATTGAGCAACTCGACACAACCTTCTATGTAAGGGTCATGAGGGATTCATCACCAATACTACTTAAGAGATAAACTGACTGGTGCTGTTTGTAGGCGGGGAAAGTGTTGCCAATGCACCAGCGAGCAACCTATATGAAAACTGATTGAGTAGAAGTGTTATCAGTCTCATCAGACTGAATATTCTTATTGTATGCAATGTATTAGATAATATTTTCGATTATATCTGTATCCTGAAATACAAGTGTGAAAGAAGCCCATCAGCAAAAAGAGTAAGGAGAATCCGATACTTCTCAAAACGACAGCACTTGAAACCATTACGTTCCTTTATTTATAACTTACTGCCTTTCGAGCACTATGCTAACACTGATGGGTCTGTCCAGATATCAACAGATCGCACTGCAGTAGCCTATATAATATACAAAGATATATGTACACAGACCACAAGTGTAAGACTGAATAACTGGCATAGCTCCACACCTACAGAATTAGCTGCACTGCAACTTGCCACTAACGCATTGAAAACCAGTTTTGGAGTCATTTTATGTGATTCAAAGCCAGTCTTCGAGCACTTAAAACCTCAACATGCAAAACAGATATTAGGAATGTTGTGACATCCACTACAAACAACATCATTAATGCACAGAGCAAAGGTTTCAGTCTCATTCGTATGGATTCCATCTCACATTGGTGTTGTCCAGCATGATGACACAGATAAGGCTCCTAAAACTGCACGTGATAAGCCTGATACTGTATTGAGTTAGATCTTGGCATTCCAATCTCTGTTGTAGAAGCTGTACAGAGGACATTAGGGATGGCAGAGGAACAGACACTGACACTTAAGGGCAGAAAGCACGAGAATAAAGAGTTATGTTTAAAACCGAGTGTATGTGTATGTGTATGTGTATATATACGTATGTGTCCGTACGGGCAGGACAAAACATCCACTAGACAGTGTGATTTGTAATGACCAGAATTGGGCTGGGATATTGATATCTATGGCATGTGGCTGTAAGTAAAAAATCCTCCATAATGTTGAACATTCCAACTTTTAAACTATGTGAACAAGAGCTACGATATATTCTCCAAACCTACATCTGTGATTGCCCTGTTATCAATGATTTTAGACCATTTGGTATGGGGCACTTTGAGCTCTGTAACTACTTCAGTCACTCATGAATATTGGAAGATGTTTTTGTGCTTACCCAGATTTTGCTAGTGCAAGCCTCGCATTTCATGTTGTCTGTTTATTCCATATATGACTATCAATCCTGTGATAGGGATATTATATGAACTTATCTAGGTATATCTACAGAATATGGTAGAAGTGCATTGCTATGTATACCTAGGCTTGATAATAAAGTGCATAACATCCGCATTACGTTCTTAACATTCCTTAATATATTTTTCGTCTGGGCTTTCATGCTCGTCTGTTCCCTGTCATGCACTGCTCTCTTTCTCTCTCTTTCAAACTTTCCTCTCCCACCCTCTCTTCCCCGCTCACCACTTACCATGCCTGAGGAGACACACTGCATAAGGCTTGTAGAACTGGACGTAGTCGACGACGAACTTGGTGTGAGCGCCCAGGTGACGTGTGGGCGTGAGGACAGGGGTGGCGGCGCCGCCCTCCTGCACCAGCCTAGCACCCACCGCCAACACCACCCCGGCCACCCACACCATGGTCACGCTCATCATCACACACCTGTGACCCGGAAAAATATAGCTAAAAATCAAACTTAAATATTCTTAGGCCTAGTATATCACATGTGCTATATTAAACCTCAGATAACGTGTATTAATAGGCCTAGGATGGTTAGGGTTAGGTCTGGTTTTATTACCAACAAATACAAAACCTATTCCGGTTTGTTTAAATTCAATAGCACCAAATTTTACTTTGTAATTATCCATTACATCGATATATGTACGATGGTGCACATCGTTACTATAAGTACTATGTAAACAGGAGGCTGGACTCTGGTAACATACTCAGAGGCCCCAGCTCGTCCCGTATCCCCTACAGGTGGTATACTGTTAGAGTATACACATGTTAGAGGAACATGTGTGCAGCTGAGAAATTGGAACTGGTGATTTAAATCATTTTGTTTAGGATTAGAAATTATTTTACAGTAACGTCACGATCGCTTATCCAAAATCTCTAATTATGGGTCGAAATGGAACCAAACTGTAGTACCAGTGGTTATCCACCCCTCATCCACGTCATATAACAATACCCAGTGAATTGATGATTGATGTTATATGATGTGGATTAAATGGCGGTGTACCACTCGGTACCGTCCTACGGTGCTTCAGGGACAGTTTAAAACTTTCTTTGAATATCAGTATTGTGGATAGTGATGGTTTGGTATTCTGCAGAGCTGTGTCCAAGAAATGTCGAAATATTTAATCCCGAATATCATATCATCCAATATATAAGCTAAATAAATAAATTTCCTCATTGTAGTTACTGGATGTACTAACCGTTCCCTCACACTGCCTGTTCATAAGAATCTGTGGTAAGAGCACTTCGGTATCAACCGAAAGGTCACGAGTTTGATTCCCACGGTTTGGCCAAAAGTTTCCTTTTACCCAATGCTTCTGTTCAGTTATGAGAAAATAGGTACCTGGGAGTTAGTTAACTGACATAGGTTGCATCCTGGGGAAGGCACGTAGAGGACAGATCAGAGGACCTCGATACTCCTCACCACAGGGTTCTTGTCCCCGACTATGGGACCACCAGCACCTGAAACACATAACTACCAACGTTAACTACATAATTAGACTTCTACCCTTGTAGCTTGATCATATATCAGTTGGATGTTATCCACATATAAATATATCAACTCCAGTGAGAATTGTTTATCATAAACAACAACTTTGATGACGGGCTGGATAATTAAGTTGAACATTGCCGATGATAATTAGCTTGAGCAGCAAAGACGGAGCACGGGGATTATGTAGAAGCAGTTTAATTATCGCTAATGTTTATACATAAGTTTACACAATAGTAAAAAGATCGCGTAATATGATAATGGGATTTTAACTACCATTATAGCTCCGAAGCTTCGGCAACACGTGATGCCGAAGCCTCGCAAAATATAAATATGAATGTCACTTGTAGCTTAACTGTGAGTAGCACTTAGGTGCGGCCGCCTAGCTGCTCCTTCCACCATCAGACCGTGACTGTTTGCCGCTCCATGGAGGTGTGGAGGTGTGTGGCCTCTCACGGGGAGTGGGTGGGGCGGCGGAAGATTGTCAATACGTCATTTTCGAAAACAGAAAAAAATGTAGCAAAATAGTAAAGGTAAACGAACTTTGAGGTTCAATTCCTGAGCCCATTACATATATAACATGCGCTTATCTATACTATAAAAGAGAATGGCTGTCATGTCTGTTTGTCTTTCTGTATGCCCAAAGATGGAGGCCAGACGCTTAGGGCTAGTCTCACACAGCTTTGCGGGGGATATGGTCTGGGGTACAGGACGGACATAGGCTCGTCAGGGTCTGCCTAAGTTAAATACTTTAAGAAATAACAGCCTGTAACCCCCCCCCCCCTCCTGTGCGATTTTCGTGAAGTCTGAAATGAACTCACAGATATTTTCAGGAGAATTTCCTTCGGATTTTCGAGATTTACTCGAAATCAATGAACTGAATTCATTCGGGTTACAGTGATGAAAATAGTGATTAGGGAAGATGGTTAAAGTGCTGAAGATAGTAAGTAGTGAAAATGGTTATGGTGATGAAGATAGTATATACAGTGAAGATGAGGTACAGGGAAAAGATGAGGTGACAATGGAATTATGAGGGGAGTGGTAGGACAACGGGAAAGAGAAGAGGAGAGGGGGGGTGAAATATGGAGGGAAGAGGGTAGAAGAGAATGTGGAATGGGAAGAAACAGATACAAACCCAGGCACCGCCAGGTTCCCCTCTCATATATAAATAAAATTATAAATGTCTGTTCGAGGTTGGAGACCAGACGGGTAAAAAAGACGAAAGGATGGAAAACATGGAGATGGGGGTGAGGAGAAAGGGAATGGAGAAAAGTAGGAAAGACAGGACGGGGGAGGGGCGGGAAAGAGGGGTAAATTGTGGGAGGGGGAGAAGAATAGGGGGGGGGGGGATGTGGGGAAAATGGAAGAGTGGAAAATGAGAGTGGAGGAGAGACAGACTGTCCCGGGCACCGCCGGGTACCTCTTCCCCCCTACCCTCAAGAGTACAATAAGACTATTGATATTATGTTAAACCATGTGATCAAGACCGTAACGTGCTTAGTTAACGGAATTTCGGGTTCAGTTCCTGCGCCTCTGTAAATTTTTTCCATTAATGCTCCCAGGATGGGTATGGGCTCACTACCGCTCACAGGATAGGTATGGGGTCCACTACACTCACTGGGTGAATATGTAGTCCACCACAACTCACAGATGAGTATGGGATCCGGCACCACTCACAGGATGAGTATGGGATCCGGCACCACTCACAGGATGAGTATGGGATCCGGCACCACTCACAGGATGAGTATGGGATCCGGCACCACTCACAGGATGAGTATGGGATCCGGCACCACTCACAGGATGAGTATGGGTTTTTCTACCAATCACAGATTGAAATTAGAACCCTGAATAAAGAGTTGATTGTGAGTTGAGAACTAACTTAACGGTACTGCCGCCCGGTAGAACCCATGAGTATCTAACCGGAAATAAATATCTGTGATCCCGAAATGCTATGCGTGCTAGTGGCTTTGCAAGAATGTCCTATACTTACCTACCAGCATATCAGTATTTATACCTCCTTAACAACCCTTTGTATCTTCTTGTATGTGAATAAATAAATATATAAATAAATTAATTAATCAATAATTACTGATCTCCCGGGACTCATCTGCTAGGAGTTCGGAGGTATACCTAACCAGTCTGTCCTACCGGAGATTGAGCCCGAGACTATCGAATATTGCGAACCGAAGATGTAGACTACTATGCTACTGTATATATATATATATAGGTATATATATGAGAGAGGTGGTGGCACTGCTCTTTACTACCACCAAGAACTAACATGCTTAAAAGAAATTAGAACTAGAGACTGCTATGGGGAGTATATCTTCGCCAGCTTCAGAGTCAAGGGTGCCGAGTCTGTCCTGTCTGTGGGTGCAGTCTATAGAATTCCCAACACTGATGTGTCTGTATTCAACTCAAACCTTAGAAATCTAATACTTGATAACAGACTGAACAAAAACCACCTAATTATCGCAGGGGACTTTAATATTGACCTCTGCGAGCCAGAACACCCTACTGCTGTTAGCTTCCTCAACTGTATGAATTCCTGCTTCCTCATACCCTTAATCACTAGACCTACTAGAATCACTGATAGCACTGCCACGACTCTAGATCACATCTGGACCAACATAACCTCTCCGCTTACTTCAGGTATAATCACCGATAGCACTACAGACCATTACCCCACATTTCTCTTAACTAACATTAGCAAACCACCTCTAGAAACAAGGGAGTTAAGCTTTAGGCTGCACAATGAAACTGCTATAAACAATTTTATAACTGCTGCTGATAATGTCAACTGGGAGTCCGAGTTAGGTAACATAGGGGACATCAACCTAGCAGTGCAATCTTTTCTACAAACAATTCTTAGCCTTTATAACACCCACTGTCCTATGCTTACAAAACAAGTCACAAGCAAAAGGCTTAACAATCCTTGGCTTACAAAGGGAATACTGAAATCCATTAACAAAAAACACGACCTTGAGAAGAAGTATAGGTTAGGAATTGTCTCCAAAGAATTCTCAAAGAATTACTCATTATTGCTATCTAAGATAATTAGACGAGCCAAAACTAAATACTACGAAGATAAATTTACTCAAATAAAGAGCAACATTAAACAAACTTGGAGCACAATTTCACAAATATTGGGATCAAAGAAATCTTTAAATAACAAACCGACTCTCCTGTCTAATAACGATGGTCAGCTTTCAGCCTCTGATTCTGCTATTGAGTTCAATAGGTTCTTCTCTTCCATTGGTTCATCCCTTGCAAATGATATTCCATCTTCCAGTACTGACATTAAGGACTATCTTACAGGTAACTATCCACAGTCTCTGTACCTAAAGCCTATTAACTCCACTGACGTCAATGAGATAATCCTTTCCCTTAAAACCAAGTCTGGTGCCCTTGAGGAGATACCAACTTTAATTTACAAAAAAGCCTCCAGATCTTTAGCCCCTGCTATTGCTTTGCTCTTCAACAAGTCACTTGAACTCCAAACCTTTCCAGATATTCTAAAAAAAGCGAGAGTAACGCCTGTCCACAAATGTGGTGACCCCACAGATGTTAACAACTACAGACCTATATCAATCCTGCCAAACTTGTCAAAAATTTTTGAAAAACTTATATATAAGCAGCTTTACTCATATCTAGCCAAACTCAATATACTTAGCCCTTGCCAATATGGCTTCAGACCCAAAAAAAGCACTAACGATGCACTTATTAGTATGCTTAACTCGATTCATACAGCTCTTGATAAAAAGGAGTTCCCTGTTGGGTTATTTGTGGACCTGCGTAAAGCTTTTGATACTGTCAACCACCATAACCTTCTTCTTAAATTACATCATTATGGAGTCAGAGGACACTCCCTACAATACCTCGAGTCCTACCTTACTGACAGGCTCCAATATGTTTCTGTGAATAATACAATTTCTCCCACCCTACCCATCAACATTGGTGTTCCTCAGGGCAGCATACTTGGCCCTCTCCTCTTTCTCATCTACATTAATGACCTTCCAAATGCCTCCCAACACCTCAAACCAATTCTATTTGCTGACGACACAACCTTCATTTACTCCAGTCCTGACCCTCTTGCTCTAAATGCCACAGTAAATACTGAGCTAAATAAAGTCAGGTGAAGTCACAGTGAGAGGTTGTGTTAACCGGAGCTCCTGAGTGTATCATAGCAATATGGAAGTTGTAGTTAAGGACCTGGTGACTCTAGTGGGAGCCCTGAGGACAGAGTTGGACTCTCTGCGGGAGGAGGTGCGTCAGTTTAAAGAACAACGAGAAGTAACGAAGGAGGAGACCAGTAGTAAAGGGACCTCGTCTTGGAGAGTTGTGAAAGACAGGGGCCTTAAGAAGACTTTGATAAAGCCGCCTTCAAACGCCATAGCAACTTCTAATTCATTTGACGTTTTGGAGGACGAGTGCTGTGGTGAGACTGCGGATCGCGCAAAAGGGAAAGCAACGAAGAGAAAGGAAGCGCAGGCCCCTCAGAAAGTAAAGGAAGTACCTAAGCAAACATTAGTTGTGGGAGATTCCCAGATAAGGTATTTGGATAGAGCGTTTTGTGCTAGAGATAGGGGGAACAGGTTAAGGGTTTGCTATCCCGGAGCTGGCATTGGTGATATTATAAACAACATGAATGATATTATGGCTGGTAATGGGAACAATCCCATTATTTGCATTAGCGTGGGAGGAAATGATGTTGGTCGAGTTAGGAGTGAGGAACTGATTCAGAGGTATAAAACAGCCATAGAATTAGTTAGGAGCAAGGGAGGAATCCCGATCATATGTGGCATTCTTCCAAGAAAGGGAGTGGGAAATGAATGGATATCGAGGGCACTTGGTGTCAATTGCCGGCTGGAAAGATATTGCAAATCAAATGCAATATCTTTCATAGACAACTGGGAACACTTCTATGGAAAAAATGAAATGTATGCTCGTGATGGGGTGCATCTATCGAGAG